CCCTAAATCCAAGGAAAATGGGTGCCGGGTTGGGGAAAAATTTTCTTGGCCAAATTTGTCTAATCAAACACTATATTTTGGCAAAGTTGGAAATTGATTTCCTTTTTTCTAGGAAAAAATGGTCCATCAAACAGGGCATAAATGTTCATGCGACCACAGGACTAGAAGGTTAAAATTGTCTTAAAAAAATTTAATTCCAAAAATCAAATGGCGACTATTTAAATCGCCTTAAAATATTGCTCTTTTTTTATATTTACCCTTCAACCAGGCATCATGGGCATGCATGGTTGTTTAATAACTAAATAGCCTTTTTCTTTCCCTTAGGTGATTGCACGTAGTCTCAAAAGGTTGGAGACGTGAGCATCACAAAATAAAGATTGAGGACATGATCGCATTATTTATGAAAGTCTGGGACCCTTGGAGGAATTTATCTGATTGTCATTGATTACACTTTTGTTTTATTAATTATAATAATATATCAAATTTGACAAGTTTTTATCTCTTGTAAATTCTTTTTTAGCCCCCACATTTCTTACTCCATGTTTGGCTACCGTGTATAATTTGCTTATGAATGGTCAAACAACGTGTTCGCTCTTTGATCACTTTTTCTTTCACATATTAGTTGGGGTGAAAAAAATTATCAAATCAAATCAAGTGGTTCGATTTTGTTGTTCTTAAATTAAACTGGATAACGGGTATTAGAAATCTTGATTCTAGACTGAGTACTAAACCTCCCGAAAAATAGTTGATAATTGGTTGTTAAGTACTCTTAATACCATAAAAAATATTTTATTTCTATTAATTTTAACATGTATTTCATATTTTATTTTTTTCGTGTCGATTTGATGGCTTGAAGCCAAGGAATTAATGTGATCAAAAGGAAATTTGTCTATGTTTTTAATGTTATTATTTACTTTTAGGTCATTCATATACGTTGGTGAAAGATTTTATTAGACAACTTATTTGTGTTTTTCAATTTGGACTATATTTGTCATGTTATAATAAGATGGAACTTATCATTTGTTAGATCGTTGAGATGTTTCAAACATTAGGAAATTGACAATAGTCGTTGGAATTATGAGAATATTGAAAATTTTAAGCATGATATGGAATCGAAACGAACCTTTTTCCATAATTAAAAATGGACATGACGGTTCCATTTACTAGATGCTCAGTAATTATTCTATTCATTTCTCTTTAGAACTGGATGGAATTAGACCGTACACATCTCTACGTGTTAGCATAAATAATATTTGCAATACCTAAAATACCCTTACAAACTTTCTTTCATCTCGTAGCTCCTTTAACAATAATGTGATACATAAATTACCCTTTTAACACTTCTAGCTAAATCAACAACAAAGTATTAGAACATCAAATTTTCGAAAATGCATAAACACATTCCTTTATATGAAGCAGAGATGTCAATCGAGCCGAGCGGCTCGTCAGCTCGGCCGCTCGGCTTGTACTGTTCATGCTCACGAGCCGCTCGGACTCGTCAAAAGACGAGCCCGAGCGCGAGCCGAGCGGACCCGTTCATAGACGAGCCGAGCTCGGCTCGGCTCGTTAAGAGACGAGCGCTCGTGGGGCACGAGCCCACGAGCCGAGCTCGTGAAAAACATTGAAAAAAAAAAACTAAAAAAAACTAAANGCCCACGAGCAAACGAGCCACGAGTGGCTCGGCTCGTGATCTCGTGGCTCGTTTCTCCATGAGCCACAAGCCGAGCTCGTGGCTTAAAGGGCCGAGCCGGCCCGCTCGGCCCATTGACAATATGAAGTGTTCAAAATACATTTACGTATATGGCTAAATAATGAGTACTGAACATGTTGAGGTCCTCAAGCAAACTCTTAAAATGTAATGTGTAAGTAACTATTTATAAAGAAGTGTGTACCATGTAATCTATCATGTACACTTTGCCAAAAATACTTATTAAAATACTACGTATACAACTTTAATTTCATCTAAAAATTTTAAGTTGGTCACAACCACTTTTAAAGAAGGAAGATTGTGTAAGGTTACATTAGAAATCTAGAATATTGTATGATTTGATCGACAATTTTTTAAACTTTTAAATGACTTTAATAGTAAGGTATTTAGGGTGTGTTTGAGCCACATTATTTTGGAAGAATATATTTTGGAATAGTAGATTGATAGAGAATGTGTATTTGAAAAAAAAAAGTTATTGATGTGATGAAAAATATTATTTTATTGAAGAATGTGTTGTTGAAAATGAGTAGAAAAATAAAAATGAAAATTTTAATATGGCTCAAATAGGAGCTTAGTCTGTTTTTGAGAAATGTCTTGTTATCGGTGACATGGTAGATGGTTTAATGACGATTGTACATTGTAAGTTGCACGCTTAGTGTCATAAATACACTAATGATAGTTCAATTTGTATTTTATTCTTTCAACATTTATTTATTTATGTTCATTCGTCATTCTTGGTAAATTGCACATTGCGTTCCAAATCATTGAAGCTTGAGACGATATATTTTGAACATTTGATTTCTAGCGCTCGAATTCTGAAACTTTTCGAACATTTGTCCTCACGGTCCTTTTTAGATGAAAAACGTTAAATTGACCATTAAAAGGGCAAATTTTGAATAAAATGGTCATTTTACCCTTAATTTAATTTAAAATAAATAATTGAAAAATAATAAAAGAAAAAAGACCAAAGTAAAACAAAAATAGATCTAATCATCTCCTTTCACCACCACATCCACCTCCATCCTTACCCACTCTATCCCCTTGTCGTCGCCGCTGTCAACCATCACCCTAATAGTCGTTACAGGCCCATTCAAATATCACTTGCCATTATAGTCCCTCCAAACTCCATTTGTCAAATTTATAAGCGATTCATAGCAAAGAATAGTAGTGAATCTTATGAAATGAGTGAATAATAATGAGTAGTAACTATAAATGTGCTATTGAAATTAGAAATATACTACATGTACAGTCCTCAATGGATTGCACATTTACAGCCAGCACTAAGAGCCTGTCTGCTGGAGATTTAAATCCAATTTTGAGTGTAAATCCAACCGTTAAAGTTAATAAGTGGGGGCCACAGGAGAGAGGAGGAGTCAAATCATGTAGGCTGCTTTGATGGGTAACGGATGGAAAAACAATTTTAATTGGTTTGAAAATGGCGCCCAGACACACACTAATTAGTGTTGGCCCCATTAATTAATTAATTAGTGGGACCCACACTAATTCGCCCACACTAATTAGTGTGGGCTGTAGTGGACTGTACAAGGGGCTTTTCTGTTGAAACTAATAGTTAAATGAATTTATAAATCATTTATATATTCAATATCCTTACAAATTAATTTGCAGCGAGGGCTAAATAATTCTAGGCTGAGGCTATCAAGGAGATGAAGTTACTTGTTCAATCTGAACTCTTGAGGCTAACGTTGAGTCTTTTCTATGCTGGGAGTTGACGATGTCGGGGAAACTAACTCTATTCTTGAAACTATTGAATATTTGAGAGGGAATATAATTGAAGTTGCACTTCCTCAACCCTTAGTCGAAGAAGCTCAAGCTATTGACCTCCTATTTTGGCTGAAAATCCTTAATGAAACAAATTATTCATTTTTTGCATTTATGATCTTAAAATAAATCGGAAACTTTAATGAATCAGTGAGATGAAAAATACTAGAAAATTAAGGATGAGCATAGAAGATTGAAGGGAAAATCACATTGCATTCATCAATTCACTGAATGAGTCATACAAAATGAGCATCTAAAGCTATATACAAAGTAAAAGGACCGAAAAGAATATTCTAGCCTGACAGATTGTCTACATTTAGCCAAAGAAATGATTACACGTCACAATAATTTGTTATATATGCAGAATATAGCTAATCTTGCGTACGTACCTGAACTAGTTTTGCAATTGAAAAATTTTCCAAAGTTCGTATACAATCAAGGATCTTCATTGGGACCACGAGGTGAATCATTGGAATATCATTTTCTTGCTTAATTAGTTTGTTGGCATATGCTAGTATATTATCTCTTGGGGTTGTCGGGCGTTCAAAGGGTGAGAAATGTTGTTCCGAACTTGTTGTCTTTTTAACCGTTCTTTAATACGTTTTTAACACCTCAACTTATGGTCTTATACACTTAGTAAATGAAAGTATGTAAACTCCTATTTAATAAGAAGAAATGATATGATGATATGTCAAAACTGCATGGACGCGACTGCGAATTTGAATGTTTGAGAAACATTGTGATCTTCTTATAGTTTTAATCACACGTTTTCATAAGTCCCACTATTATTACTCACTTATCTAACACTCGTTTATATAATTTAAGTAACTTATAATTTTATCCAAATAAGCACAAGATATTGATGGAGTTTGGTGAGTTGGAGGATTGGTAAATAAAACACTTTTGTTTTTATTTATTGCTTATTTATTTTTCCCAATAAACTTCGCATAATTTGGATGCAAGTACCATATTCGTTTTGTTCCAAAAGAAGTACTAAATATTGGGAAATCATTTAATTTGCCATGATAGGCTGACATATGTAATTACTTGTGCATAAATGTTATCTTAAAGTTAAGCCCGAAATTAAAGTGATCTAATAAGGAAT